ATATTGAGAATAATCAAACTCAGTAATTATACTAATTGCTTAGTTAACCCGATACCTTTTCGTGTTCATAATCTATTTAATAGATGATGCTTTATAGTCGGATAAGTCCAAAGCTATTCGAAAGTTGGAGATTGGTGTACTTTACCTACTCAGGTTAGACTATGGTCTAGAAAATATCAAATCCCTGCTGTAGCAACGGTTTCACGGTGAGCTTCGAACAGGCCATTTAAGGGTCCGTCAGGTGCTACCATCATCAGAAGGAACTGAAGTGTGCAGTGTAATGGCGTGGCTACAGTAGGTACTTTTTATATATGAAATATATTAAATACTATAATATTTATACATTATAATATAGATGAATAAAACACATATAATTAATGGGGAATATTTGAATTCTGTTCCTTACATGAGGGTCAGGTACATGGTATTTCCCAAAGGTTCTGAAGCTTTGGTGAAAGGCTCTTCCTTTTTCAGTTTGTGCAGCCATACTAGTGCCATCTTTTCCAACGGTTACGGCAAACGCGACAGGAATCAAGATGTTAAACATTTATCAAGTTGCTAGATGCATTCCTCCTGTCTCAGTTACTTGCATGCATATTAAGTACTTATATTGGATATCTATAGCACATTACAACCCACTGTAAGATAACATCTAGGCCATCTAGGGTATTACATTTCAATATACTGTGTACCAGTCGAAAAAGTAATCAGTAAAACAGCCATCAACCACATTCATTCCCATTACGTCACAGAAGTGGCGGAACTTAGCAACGTGTGACCAGAACAGATGGCATAGGTCTCCAGTATGAAACTGATTCACGGGTGTTTTGATTATTATGACGCCGCATGGTCTTTCCTGCAAATTTCAGGGGTTCCCTAATTTCCTTTACTTGATATTGTACCTGTTCAAATCGCCTTTACATGACAGTGGTGTACTCAGTAGTTTAACCAGGTAATTCCTCATCAGGAGTGTCCAGTCAACACATCGACGGGTAGTCTAAGATCCTTCCCAAGCATCAGCAGAATGAATAGCCACTTCGTCTGCTCTTTAGTACAGTGATGCTAGGTCTAGGGAGGTTTCCCTTTTCTAGGAAATAATGGACCTATGGAGGGAAAAAGGAAGAAATATCAAAATTGATAAAAAATCTTGGGGGAAACTGATATAATGGGAAAGTTGGAGAAGAGAGGACATTCTTTTTGGAAATGATACTGCAGAAGTATATTCTACTACATCAAAAACAATGAGGAGTGCCCATAGAAAGAGGGATGGAGGAGGGGTATTGGTGGGTGGCTGGGGGTGGGAAGTGTTGAGGGATTGAATGGACTTGATAACAAGTGGCGTTTGCTGCCTGCATATTCTAGCTGCTCATAGTATCTTTGCACCTATACAGCTATAAAAGTATCTCAACAACCTATGGAAGTTTATATATATATATATATATATATATATATATATATATATATATATATATATATATATATAGAGAGAGAGAGAGAGAGAGAGAGAGAGAGAGAGAGAGAGAGAGAGAGAGAGAGAGAGAGAGAGAGAGAGAGAGAGAGAGAGAGAGAGAGAGAGAGAGAGAGAGAGAGAGAGAGAGAGAGAGAGAGAGAGAGAGAGAGAGAGAGAGAGAGAGAGAGAGAGAGAGAGAGAGAGAGAGAGAGAGAGAGAGAGAGAGAGAGAGAGAGAGAGAGAGAGATCCTCTCTACAGTTGCACTTGAGTGGAGTAAGTACATAGTTTATCATGAAACGCCCAAGCCAAGGAAATAGAAATGAATCATCTTCTTTCACTACAACCCTAAATGGACTGCCTCATGAAAAACCAAAATGATTTCAAGATTCTTCCAAGCCACCTCAGTAGGTTGACAGAAGAAATATACAAAGCATAATATCGGAAACATTCAAATCGTAAGTTGAATTTTTTCTTTTAATCTGTCATTCTTTCTCCCTCCCTTTCTCTACTTAGGTTGGCTGTTACTGAGACAGTTTCAAAGCTGCAAAGATAAATTTTAATGCCTCATCTATGGAACCTGGCATACTGCTTCAGTATAACACTTAGCCAGCTCCTGCACAATGGTATGGTTAATATGCTTCACTATTACATCTGCTGTGGCCTCAGAGGGGTGGTAGGTGTCTTCGGGGTCCCCATTAGCCTGGAACACTATAGACTCAAACTCCCTTCTCTGGTCTGAATCAAACTCACTAGAAGCTAAGCAAAGAACTGCACTACCAAGACTTCAGCCACGGACATTACCTCGTGGTTAGCAAAGGCAAAAACTTTTGGCCACTTTGTGAAATAATCCATGGCAACTAAAATGAAATGGTTACCAGACTCAGTTACTGTAAAAGGGACAGTTATGTCAACTGCTATTCATTCCATGGGTGCTCTTACTTGGTAGCTCTCCCCTTTCTGGCAGGTGCCTTCTTGGCACTGCATGGTGTGCAAATTCTGCACCACTCTTGCACATCCCAATGCATACCAATAGAATCACTATCCCAACTGACCATCTGCCTTCACTGACTTACTACCCATGCCAGTTGCCACTGCTTTCGAGGGAACGTAAGTGGCTGAGTTGAGGCAGCTGCTCTAACAGAGGTGAGAAGCCCTGGTAGTGGCACAATCAGTGTAGGTGGCTACACCTATTACTGGTCAGGCTGCAGTGATCATTATCTCCAAGAGGTATCTCCGGTAGACTCCACCCCTCGGTAGTAGAGGTTACTCAGGTCATGTGAAGAGAGGTGTTGTCACCTCTCTGTTTCTCCACATCTGTGACTCCCAGTACCTGGATGAAGATCAATTTCCTACATTGTTCCTTCCTTAAACTGGGTTACCCTCGTTATATTCTCGATGCCATGTTATCCAGGGCGTGGTGTACATTCTACAATGACTCCTCTCCAAAAGAGACCCCTCACCTGCCCATCCTTAGCCTGCCCTACACTGAAATCTACTCTCTCCGTCGCCCTCTGCACCCTCTCAACTGCAAACTCAACTTTCGCCAGGTGAACACACTGTCACAACCTGGTTTACACCTGCCCTCCCTCTACCTCGAAGGAGGGCACCTATGCTGTTCCTTGTGCTTCCTGTGATAAGCAGTATTTTGGTAAGACAGGTACCAGTCTCATAAATATACAGCATCCAGGGGACACAGCATCAGCACCCTCTTCTGCCATCAGTGGAACAAACCATTAGATGGAATGGTCAGCAGTGCACTTTGTCTACTCTGGTGTCCATGCCTGCAGATTGGTGGAATTTTTAAAAATCAAGCTACATCCTAATTTCAACTCAAACAGCAGCTTTTCTCCTACCGACAGTCTCCTCGCTTCCCACATCCTCCGCCTTTTGCTGTATGCTGGACACCCTTTACATAGACCGCCTGATCCTTCGACCTTCCCTAACCTCCCCTTGCTTCCGTTCTCTTGTCCTCACCTGCCCCGTGTTCCCCCCCTGCTTCTCCTTTCTCTCTCTCTTATACTCCTTCCTCTCCCCATTCCCTTGTTTGTCCAAACCAAAGCATGACTGTCATGAAAGTAATGACCGGGAGACACAGGAGCGGGACACAAAATACTAAGAACATTCAATGTACATGCTGTCCGTCCAATTATAGACTAAGCTTTGGTTGCCTTCATTGCTCTCAGCACTACATTAAAAGAAAAAATATGGAGACATCCTGGGTGCCCCCAGATGGACAAAGGCCTTCAAACTCCTCACGGAGGCTAAACTGCCGTCCCTGGATACCCAGATTGATCTAATGGCAGTGCAGTCTTTCTATGGTCATACAGCCCGGAACGCGTATATCAGACAAAAAGTATTCAGACACCTACAATAAGACTACCAGATGTTTGCGGAGAACTCTTGGGTTACACACGCCAGTGTTGATACAATTTCAGCTCAAACAACAACTGCTTGCCAAGGGCAAGGACTCCTCCCATCCTGACTTTAGAGAACCCCCACCATTGGCAAACACCTTGTTCAAGTTCTCAGTCTTGAGCTTGACAAGAATAATTCAATACTCTATGTCTAGCCTAAAGGCACATGTACAAAGAATCATTGCATAAGTAACTCCTCCAGGTAGCAGAACCTACGTCACAGACGGATACGTGGATCCCATAAACCACACTGCAGGTGCCTGCTTCCCAGGAAGGGATGCCACAACATCCATCAGAATCACTGACAATGCCTCCTCACTCCAAGTAGAAACACTTGTGATCATGGGAGCCCTGGCCTATGTGTCTCTAAGGGAAGAACACGTGGTCATACACACAAGACTCTAGATCAGCCATTGACTGTCTACAGCATGAGACCAACCCATCTCCTCAGGAATGACTTTAGAGAACTCAATTGTTCAAGTTCTCAGTCTTGAGCTTGACAAGAATAATTCAATACTCTATGTCTAGCCTAAAGGCACATGTACAAAGAATCATTGCATAAGTAACTCCTCCAGGTAGCAGAACCTACGTCACAGACGGATACGTGGATCCCATAAACCACACTGCAGGTGCCTGCTTCCCAGGAAGGGATGCCACAACATCCATCAGAATCACTGACAATGCCTCCTCACTCCAAGTAGAAACACTTGTGATCATGGGAGCCCTGGCCTATGTGTCTCTAAGGGAAGAACACGTGGTCATACACACAAGACTCTAGATCAGCCATTGACTGTCTACAGCATGAATACCCAACATCATCTACCTCATGACCACTGTCCTCACAGAAGGTCCCCCCTGCCTCCCCCACACACACATATATATATATACAGTATATATGTGTGTGTGTGGTGTGTGTGTGTGTGTGTGTGTGTGTGTGTGTGTGTGTGTGTGTGTGTGTGTGTGTGTGTGTGTGTGTGTGTGTGTGTGTGTTATATCTATATACACACATACTTACACAGAGTTCATACACTTTTGATATCAAAATTGCATGACTTTCCATGACTTTCGGAAAGGTTTAGGCATTTTTCCACGACTCTTTAGTTTTCCTTGAGCAGTTGATGCATATTCACAATACATATAACCTATCACATGTATAATGACTGTAATTCAAAACTGATGTGAAATATAAAAGATTTAAGTAATGACTTGTGAGTGTGCTTTATTGACAACAGTGACTAGTTGCTTATAATGGATCAAGCTTGTATGAATTTGGGCTATGTAATTTTTCAGTGTTTCATTCAGTTACCTTAACCATCATAAGTTTATTTTGATTTCTTTCTGAAGACTTTCTGTGAATATAAATTTTCTCATTCTAATTATAAACACACCTAGTCAGAAACAGAGAGAGAGTGACTATGAGATAGGCAGAGACACACACAAATTTTTATTTTTGTACAAATTAATTCATACAGTATATAATAATAAAGGGAGGATGAAGAGGCAAATTGAGTAA